GCGAACGTGAAGGGCCAGTCGAGGGAAGGGATCCTTGCAGTGCAATGATAAACGAATTATGCCCAGGGTTATGCCCTGCAAAATTCTTGGAATTGGTCAGTGTAGTAGCTCGAGCTTTACTTTACACGAAAGAGGCAGTACTCTGTACGAGAGAGGATCCAGTATGCCGCGCAAGTGTGAAATATTCAATGGCGCGGCGCAATTCAGAAATCGCGAGATATTCCTCGCTCGCTCGCGCGATGGTTTATTTTGACAGCTTCTTTGCAAGCTGCTGCAGAAGGCGAGGTATGAAGAAAAAGTGAATAAAAAAAAAGAGAGAAAAGAAAAAAAAGAAGCAAGCGTGAACCGCCGAGGTCGTATATAATTCATTCTCGTTGCGCACACTCTCGCTCTCTCTGACTCTCTGCCACCGAATTCCACGAGGAGGAACATACAGCTTGGAACACGGAGGAGAGATAGCACCGAGAGAGAAGAAAAAAAAGAGTAGCAGCGAGCGCAATCGTACAACGTATATATACCCGTGTGCATATACGCAGGAGGAGCAGAGCTCGAGCGAGCAAAGTAGCGAGAAGTTGCGCGCGAGGTGTTTGGGGGCTTTGCGCGCGCGAGAGAGAGTGTGTTTTTATCTTTCGTTTGGAATCTCGGCATCGAGGGGTTATATATACGCGGAAAATGAATAGTGTGCTGCTGCACAAGCCTCGTGTGCAGCAGCTCGCTTATACTCGAGAGCTTTCTCGCACTTGGCCACGCGCGATCGCTTATAGTAGTAGTAGTATATTGTCCGCGTCATGCGGCCCCAAAGCGCATTGTCCGCGAGGCGTTAAAGGCTTCATACATAGGTATAGTTGTACTTTAAACACATGCCAGCTGTTGGACGCGTGCGATGTACCATACCATAGCTTATGTATATCACGACGCTCTGCACACGGTTCGCGAGTAAATCTTAACTTGCTGCTGAAAATACTAAAAAAGTTCGATTTCCGTATTGCATTCGCACTAACGAGAGAGAAGATCCGCAAATTCACATGTCAAATCGTCTCGACCGCGGGTATATCAATTACCCCAAATCGACGACTCGACGAAATAAAAATAAAAAATTAATACACACGGCAGCAGCGTCGTCATCCCGCGCCGACGTTCCAGGACCCATTTGTATTCAAATAGCTCGAATATTTCATCGGCCGATATGGCCCGACGACGACTGACGATGATTCACGTCGTTTCTTTTTTGCATCAACATCAGCAGCAGCAGCAGCAGCAGACCATTAACATAATTGACTAGTCTTTTTCACACGGGTGCCTCGAAAAATGTTTAAAGCCGGGATATTAAATCCTTGACCGCATCGCAATTGTGTCGTGGCATTAATAGGTATTACACGAGCTCGCGCGCGTGGCTATACGTACATTTTGACTACATTAAAGAAGCGACGAGATTATTTTTAGGCAGCAACATCGTGAGCTCTTTAATACACGTGGTCGTACATGTCGTGAAAAAAAAAGCAGAAAAAGGAAAGAACGAAGAGAGTAAAAAGAGGAGCAATCCTTTGGCCATGCGCGAGAAGCCAATTACATCGATGGGCGTACGCGCACCGAAATAAATCGCGAGCGCGCGGCCAACTTGGTTCGCGAGCGACTACATATATATATACCTGTATAATACGTATATATAGCTATAGAGACGAGCACAAGAGGACGTTATATTACGTATAGCCTATTAACTTGTAAATTGCTTCCGACTGGTGGTGGGAGCAGAGGCGCATATGAGCTAAAAAGAGAAGGCATAAATTTGCGCGATATTAAGCTTCGGTGCAGTTGCTCTTAATACATGTATAAGCTCCGCTGGCTTTGTAACAACGCGAGTGCATTATATAGCGCACGCAGCTAGTCAACCCTCGCGAAAATATCATCGATCAATGACGCCGTATAAACATATGCATATAATGAGGTAGATCGATTATAATACATCCTAACTCGGAGGCTAACGAAAATATCGGTCAGTTCGAGCGAAAAGATATATATTTAAACGAGGGCACAAAAGCTTTGCCTCGATGTGGAAAAGGACCTGCTCCAAGGATCATCTCTTCAGTTTCGAGACGCACACACGCCTGATATGCGCTCAGAAATTCCTAATATACGACGCTGCGATATTAATCGCGGACTCGCGCGACGCGACCATCGATCACGGCAGCTGACTCGAGGTATATACTCTTTGGCACACACAAAACTCGAAACAGATCGCGGGAATCGGTCGTTGACTCGCGCTCGCCAGCCCTCAGCGATTATTATAATTAATTGAAACGTTTTGACAAAGAGACGCGCACGTCGTCGTCAACGTCGATCTGCCATACTCTTTTTTTTTTTTTTATGGGGGAATCGTTACTTTCTCTACTACCTACAGCCTACCCCCCGAAATTACATCGTGTATGCGAATCGTTATAACGAGTGGGCAAGCATATTGTCGCTTATTTTAACTCGTCCTTCCTATTATGTTGTAGCTCGAGATGTGATTCGTCGAAGCGCGCGCGACACGCATCGCCGAGCAAACAATGACGCAAATACGTGTCGCCATTATTACTCTCTCTCTCTCTCTCTACGGACACCGGGACCATTATGTAATGCGCCTCGATCCATTACTCCCCTCCCTCCCAACCCCTACGGTTGTAAGGGTAACGTCGGTACGAAATATACGCGAAAGAAAGGAAAAAAGAAACAACGCACACGAATAAAGCAGGGAGAGAGCGAGCGAAAAAAAGCCGAGTAGCGAACTCGAGGCTGCTGCTGCTGCTCACGGCCCGAAAAATTTCCCAGCTACAAGCCCATCGACGACGCGAGGCGCACGTCCTATCTCGCTCGACGATCGTTTTTGGCCGTCATGCTTGGCTCAACCCTTCGTCGACGTGTTTTCTCTCTCTCTCTCTCTTTCATTTTTTTTTTCTGTATATCTTCCCCCGTCATTGAAACTGTCAGAATATGTATATAATGTACGCGCGGTACAATATACATAATACGAAACACTCTCTCCTGCGTGTATACGTGTGTGCATAGATGAGTAGGCAAGAGCGAGCGCGTAAAGCTTGCGAGGCCGAAAGGACAACGACGACTGGCCTGTGCTACCTATATATTAATATAATATAATACAAGGTTCGTTTTTTTCTCTCTCGCTCAAGTTGAGGCGAAAAAAGTAATACATAAATCTTTCGCCACCCGTTGTTTTTTCACATGCATACGCACGGAATTGCTGCCGTATAAATATTGAATAGGAGCTCCATGGCCTAATTGCAATGGCGTCTAGGCATCATGGCGCTGCTCTTGGAATATTATATTATATAGTTACAGCTGACGATCGAACCTTAATCGAGAGGATACCCGAAGAAAGAAAAGGCCATATATCGCGCTGTTACGTTAAATAGCGAAGAGAGCCTCTCACCGCGCGCGCGGCTAATAAATTTTATATTTTATTCAGGAGACACACGCGCGTATCTCCCTCTTTCCTCTTCTGTCGTCTCTTCGTGTTTTGGCGTACACCGATCACCGTCGTCGTCGTCGTCGTCGAGATCCCTGCTTGTGTGTGTGTGTGTGTATAAATTCACTCGCTTTATAATTCGTACATGCATGTAATACGTATACGCGAGCATATATATAGTGACAAAAAAGAGCTATACTACTGTTAACCGTAAAAAAGCCCGGTGTTACGTTGGGCCGCTCGTTTCGTTCGGTTATACGTTCGGTAAGTTCGGCCGGTCGCGCGCGCGCAAGCGGCATAGATCGTATCAGCGATCTCCTCGTCCTCTCTCTCTCTCTCTCTCTCCTTCCATCCATCCATCCCTTTTTTTTTATTCTCCTTTTTTTTTTACCCACCGTTCGGCATCGGACAGGACACACATCTGCGAGAACGTATACCTACCACTACTACTACTACTACTACTACAGCGTGGACTCCCGCGGCTCGCTCGGCTCGTAATAAACGTCGTCGCAAGCCCCTAATGCTACTTTTATAAAAATGAAAAAAAAAGGAGAGAGAGAGAGAGAAAAAACACACACAACTCTACACCGGCCTACAGGAGACCAGAGACAGAGAGAGAGAGGTAGAAAGCATTGTGCGAAAAACATATGTCACCCTGAAGTTCGATACAACTGTTGGTAATAAAATAAAATGTCCAGCATTAAAAAAGCAAAAAAAAAGATGCACGCGCACAGATATGTGCACGAGATATGGAGAATAACCGAGACAGACCGACTGTATATATACACGCGATATTACGAAATATCGGCAAGCCAATATAACGAGCGGCCAACAGCGAGAATTTTATCTCGCTGGGAATTATGCTGCTGCTCGACGAAGAGAGCTGGATGGATGCTCGAGTCGCTGCATCCGACAACGATAATCGAAAACTTATTAGCTTCCTTTTTTCTTCTTTTTATTTTATTTACTTTACATCGAGGCGAATCCGAATCGGACGCGCGCAGTGCCTTTTTTTCCGGGACCTCCTCCTCCTCGCATAACACAGAAGCGAATCCAGTTCATAAATATATAATAGAGACGTGCTGCTGCTGGCAAGTACGAAAGCTGATGGCCCCTTGCCTCGTTTATATAGCCACGCGCAGTCAAAACAAATATCAGGACGAATACGAGCGTAACGCACCTGAGCATCTGTCCGCCCACCTATCAGTCAAATCACGCGCGCGCAGCTAGCTCCTACGGATCGTGACACCTCGTGGGACAGCCTCCGCAGCCCGCACGTCTAATTCGACCGGTCATTATGGGCCTATTAAGGTTCTGGCAGAGTTGGCGTCTTTATTTTTCCTTAATGAGCCAAGGGCGGAGCAGTTGGTTTCTCGATTGTTTTTTTTTTCTTCTTTTTCATCCGCATGCCCATTGGACTTAACTTTTCACCCTCTTACTTTTCGTTTTGCGGTATTTTACGTACGCGACGAAGAGCATCGAGATTTATCATTCATATATATGAGTATAAAAAAAATAAAAAATGCGATGTACTCACCAGTCGTCGTTTTGGCTTGATAAGTGGACGATTTTGACCGTTCATTTTGTAGTACAACCCGCAAGCGTTGCACAGATAGTGTCCAGTGCCGTCTCTTCGCCATAGCGGCGTCGAGGTGGCTCCACAATTGACGCACTCGCGACCCTCTGTGTATGTCAAAGATACACAAAAAAAAAGAGAAAGAAAAAATAAATAATTAGTCATTCGATCGCAACGAGTTTTTCGATTGTGAAAATGAATTTTTTTTGTGCTCTCGTTTTAAGCGTAAGCTGCAACTGAATCCAGTCTCCTTCGTTCCGCCCAAGTTCATAATTAATTTTTTTTTTTTTATTTCGAAATAGAGACACAATTGCGAGTGAATTATGGTCTGGGCCGAGCGAAAGATAGTGAATCCTGGAGCGACGCATCGCGTACACAAACGACATCGACGGTAGTCGCGGAACCCAAAAAAGGATAAATATATATGAGCTCTCAAGCAGCGGATATAAATTAATCGCTTTATTTGGTCAGGACGTCGGTCGAGATCGTCTGTGTACGTCTACGCTCGCATTTAACTAAATTAACCATTCCGAAGGATCTCTCTGGTGTATGTGTGTGCGAACGTAACTTTTTCGGTGGCACATGCGCGATGCGATGAGGCCACACAATATATAAATATTGATTTTGCGCCCGCCCGAAACTGCCAAAAGCTGCATGAAATATTGGTCGCGTGTGCTCGTACGTATCAAAAAGCGAGAAGAAAAGTATACCAGCGCGCACATACATAGAACAGATAGATTCTCCTTTCGGAATGGCCAATCTCGTTGCTGAATGTTAATCGAGAGAGAGAGAAAAAGAATCACAAGCATCAGCATCAGCAGCAGCAGAGAGCACCACTATATAGCACAAACAGAGGCGCGCGCGCAAACGGCAGCTCGATCCGCCGGCCTTTTCCCAGAAACATCCATAAATTTCGTCGAAAAACGAGTCACAGCGAAACAACTCGGCACAGAGCAGCAGCAACAGCGCCCGCTCATATTATTATACACAAAGATCGTCTGGGAAAAAACTCAATCCGCTCGAGCCAAAAGAAATTCTCATCGTTAATATCGCGCGCGCGAGCCTCTGCCTGTGCGTGGCCAACTTTTATACACAACACGCGTGTAATATTTATTAGCGAATGTTAATATAATGTATATATATATATTTTTTTTTTTATATATAAAATAGCATGCAGAGCAGACAAACCATCACCAAGCGATTACCAGAGCAAAAGCACAAGTCGTTTCTGTTTTTTCGGTAAATTTTTTGTTTTTTTTTTTTTTTTTTTTTGGTACAAAGGTAGTCTCCCATCCGTTTTTGCACTTTTTTTTTAACATAATTGCTGCGTGTGCGTGGACAAATTCAATTTGCAGACAGGCCCCGAGACGAATTTGTCAAAAGAGTGCGCTAGACGTTATACAGAGAAAAAAGACAGACATAGACAGAGATAATAAAGGGTTAGTATAGTGATTGTCATAGCGTGGTTGATATATATATATAAGGAATTGTATTTGGTTTATTTGCTTTTTTTTCTTTCTTTTTCAATTCAATCGAGTCTGCGGCTTATTGCTGCGGTCAGCCAGGAGGAATACAAGGGATAATTGCGCGCACGACGCCCTAATCGCCCCCTCGGATCTTCCATCTTGCGCATTTACATCCGCACATACGCGTGTTTACGTGCGTGATTAAGAGAATCGTGAGTGTGTGTGTACATGTCATCCCTCGTCTTCGACGTCATTCGTCACGTGCGCGATTTCGTCGGATCCCTGCGTTATAAAATGCGTATTCGCACTATTGAATTAGCGGTGGTGCTGGTGGTGCTGGTGTTTCCCTTCGAGTGGGCATTATTGCCGCGATTCGCTCGATGAGTTTCGTACGTGTGTTTGCAAGACATCTTATCCTTTCTCATCCCGCTTGCCCTACACACGGATGATCGCAAAACGATAACGTAATCGATTTCACGTTGTGTGCGCGCGCGATGCTCATCGCCCGAGAGAGGAATTCCGGCGGATTTCGAGGCCTCGTTATTCGATCTCATTTGGCGCGCGCGGGAAGTTGGGCACGCTCGTCGAGCTGAACAAAAAAAAAAAGGAAAAAAAAAAACTATTCCTCGGTCGGCGCAGCGAACTTTGATTAATGTATGAAATTGCAGTAGCTAGCTGCACACGATGGCACAAGCGCGCAGGTGTCGAGGCACACACAGGAAAGGAGCTGCACACACACAGTCCACGGGGATTCATCACTTTCTCAACTCGTTATACGAGTGCGCGCACGCGAGAGTCTCTCCGCGCTTACCCAACACGAGGTGCCTCGCCGACACTACTGCTGCACACACGCGATTTTCATAAATAGGATTCGCGCCTAACTTGCCACTCTCGAGCACGAGCCGCCGTGCTCACTTTTCATTTCTCGCGCTCTCGATTTTCCCGGACGCGTGAGGAGTCGCGTCGCAACTTTTGAGACGGCGGGTCCGACCGACGACGTGTGTACGTGTGTATGTGTGTGTGTGTGTGTGTGTGTGTGTGTCGCAAGCTTCTCGATTTAATTAGCGACTGCGTGTACCGCAAGGCAACTACTCTTGGTATAATATCCATTGTTGCGGCTAGTCGACCGCCGCGACTTTATATTATTATAAACTTTCCGCCGAGGGAAGTTATGGACTGTGGAGCCGCGCGGCCATGAGCGTATTGCCCAACTCCATCTGCGATTTCACGCCGATTTTACGCCGAATGATCGCCAGATTTTGCGTATTGTATACGTGCTGCGCTGTAGAAGCTTTTAGCGCACAAAAATATTACTTGCATTTTTTTTTTTTACAAGAAAACAAAATGTGTGCCGCGCGAGACATTCAATTTTTCCGCCAAAATACAAATTATTTACGTTTTTTTTTTTATCTCTTTTCCTAAGTAAAAATGTCTCGTTAGCTGCGTGTATCACAAAAATTTGTTATTTTCAAAATCAAAAATATAATGAGGCAACACCACATTCAGGAACAAAAAACAGTTCTGTGCTCTCGTGTCGAATAGGCTTGATTATTACACAATGCGTTCATTGATGGTGCGCGCGTTATATATTTGTGGGTGCCACTCAAAAAAATAACAAAAATTAAAAATTCAGTGTGACGCAGATCTCGGTGTCGTCGATTTACATAAAAAAAAAAAAAGAACAATCTTTTCGAACTCAAGTACTCGAAAGATATTCCGTCGTGAGGATTGCAACGTTTATATATCAGTGTTGAAATACCGCCACCAAAAGCTCAAAATTATAAGTAAATTAAACGAATAAACGATGACAGAAATAAATGAAAAAAGTTATGAGTTAAGAGTAAAGGTGATACAATCATAAATAAGGTTGGTGTTAAAAGAAAATTAAATTGTCAAATAAACAGACGTGAAAAAAAGAAAATCATACGATTAAACGAAGAAACAAAAGGAAATGAAAAAAAAAGTGAGCATATGGTTTTTCAGTGGACGGCTTACCGGCGGAGGTCCTCGATTTGTTCCTGGGCTTTTGCACCTGCTGATTATTGTGTTGCTGTTGATGCGTGGTGTTGGGCGACGCCGGCGTGTTCTGATTCACGTGCTGCGAGCCGCCCCCCAGCAATTTGGACTCGCTCGCAGCCGAGCCGAGTCCGGACGCGGACGCGACGACGCCGCTCACCGCGTGATGATTCGTCGGCGCGGCGAACAGGGCGGCGGCCGCGGCGGCGCTCGCGTTGTGCGCCGCGGCCGCCGCCGCGTGACTGTGGGAGTGATGCGTGGGATACTGGAGGGACTGATACATGTACGAGGAGTCGTACTGGGACGCGTAACTCGTCGGCTCCCGACACGTGGGCGACGTCGGCGTCTGATGCTGAGTGCTCTGATAATTTTGGCTGCTTTGCTGTTGCTGCTGTTGTTGCTGTTGCTGCTGTTGCTGCTGTTGTTGCTGATTGCTCGCCGAATTCGCGGACGACTGATTACCTTCGCGCTGCTTCACTTGGCCCGACTGCGACTGGGGATTGTGCTGCTGGTGCGTCGGCGACGAGTTGCCCGGCTGGCCGCCGACCTGGTGGTGACCGAGCATCACCGAGGGCTTGACGTCGCACGAGCTCGCTCCTCCGTTACCACCGAGGCCGCCGTCCTGGCCACCGTGATGACCGTGAATGAAGGCGCCCATCGCGTGGGCCACCACCGCCGCCTGGTAGTCCTGCTGCTGGCCCGAGCCACCCGCCCCGAGGCCCGAGACCACCGAGTTGTTGTTGTTGTTGTTGGCCTGGTTGACGTTGTTGTTGTTGCCCGAGCCCGGACCCGCGCCCGTGCTCGACGTCGTGCTGGCGCTTATGCTGTCGGGCGTCGCGTCCTTCGGCGGCGTGGGCGGAAACGAGAACGGATGGCCCGCGGCACCACCGTGGCCTGCCAGACTCGTCGGCACCATGCTCGCCGGGCCGAGCGGACTCTGGGGCTTGTTGTCCTCGGCGGAGTTGTTCGACGCCGCCGAGGCGCCGCCGAAGTTCCAGGCGTGCAGCGGCGGCGGGAAGTGCGGCCGACAGACCTGGCTCATCGTCCCCGAGGGGATACCGCTGCTCGTCATTCGACCTGCGGACGACAGAAAAGTTGAACATGTTAAAATCGTATATAAAATCAATTATTGCGAGTAAAACTAGGCTGAACTGAGAGAATAACTTCGTAATGGAGAGAGCGCGAGAAGCAATTCGCACCTTTTTCTCGTTGTAAAAACTTTCGTTCGGATGGCCCCGAGGCGGGTAATTTTTTTTCTCCTCCTTTTCACGCAGCACTCATCGTGCTCGTATACTGCAAAAGCAGTTGATACTGCGCGGGAAATCCAGCATAGTCGCGCGACGATAAATAAAGATTACGTCTCAACTACTGGGATGCATATAGTGCGTGTGTGCGATATAAAAGAAAAACGAAAGAGAAAGATCGAGGCTGTAAATAATCACACGCGCGCGCGCGCGCGGCAATCGCTAGGGGATTATTTTTCGTCGAAGCGCGCGCACATTTATAGCTGTGTGTCGCTGGTAGGAAATCGATGCAGCAGTGACTTTTTTTCTATGTAGGTACTATTCGGTACACCGGTACAAAGTGCGTCGCGGCTGTGCATACACACACACACACATGGAGACAAGTAGTATATACAGAGAGCTATATAGTCGGAGAAACATTGCACATACACACGGCATCGCGTGAGCTCGAGCGGTTTTTCATCCGCCGATGCTAACTTCTATACACACACACACACACACAGACGCAAATAGAGTATGTATAGGTGTTTGTGTATTATATATGTGTGTGTGCATGCGCGCGTGCACACAGTAGCGATGAGATTTCTTTCGTTCGTGTTATCGACTCATTTTCTTTTCGCGCTCGTGCTCTATGTATATACGAGAGAGCTGCTTCTGCTGCTCGTATGCACACAAACACACATTATACGACTCACACTATTGTAAACATTATAATATAGTTATATACACGTACACGAAGCTCGCTATCTCTCTGACGCGCGTTCGTATACGCACCGATGAATAAAATTGATTTCGATTGTGTGTATATATCGACGATTGTCCATCGCGCACATCGGCGCCCCGGCGGCTGCACGACGACGATCGACGATCGACGAGATAATACAACAGAGACTCGCAAAAATAATCATAGATATATCGCGTCGAAGTAGTTGTGTGTAAGCGCGCGCGGACGTTTGATTGATTCGATAACGGGGCGAGCAGCAGCTCCAGCTCGGACCGGGCTAACTCTTTATTTTTTTATTTTAGTGCTTCGAGTGTTGTTGTTGTTGCCCTCATTTTTGTCGTTGTTGTTTTGGTCGGCGTATATCTCGCGCGCAAGCTCCAATTCACAAATCGCGAAATGGAAATAAACCGAGAGAACAAAGCTAGGAAAAAGCAACGGATCGCAACGCGGGCCGCGTCAGACACACACACGCACATAAACAGAAAATATTTTTCAACGCCGACGTACGTACTGCACGCACGTATTTTACCATGGACTCTCTATATACTCGCGTATATCGCAGTGTGGCGTGTGCAATTCATGAATATTCATACGGAAAAAAAAAAAATAATATTCCAAATGCATATATATCTATGTGTGCAAGGTACGCTTAACGGTTCAAATAGCAACTGCAGCAGCAGCGGTCTGCGCGCGAGTATATATAGTAGTAGTAGGACTGCAATAATGTTGTAACGCTGCGATGCGTGCACTCAGCGACGCGTGCAGTAGCATATATATAGCTGCTGGGCTAGTGCAAAGAGCGCGACGCGATTGCAGCGACATAGTAATAATTTTCGCAGTCTCGTGTTATAATGTATAAAAAAATACTTGCCGGGCGCGATGTTAGACCTCGTCATTCATCGATCTTCGACGCGAGCCTTTTTTTCTCTCGTACACGGTGCGTAATTTATGCTGCCATCGTATGACGGATGTACGCTTTTCGACTCGTTTGCTTGAATCGACGCATCGATCGAGAAAAACTTTTTTGAAGGTTTATCGTAAAATTCGCGTGTAATATAGTGCATATCGCAGCGTGACGTAGTCTCGGTCGATACGAAGCTTTGTCGTGTGCATTGGATACACACACCCGGCAGGTTGTCAGTTTTGAGTCGTGATCATCATCGCTGGGCACGAACGCCATCCGAATGCGGAATGTCAATGAACGCGCGCGAGGCGCAGAAATTCTCGCGCGTTCGCAGCTCTCGTGCTGCCGCGTGTGCACGTGTGTGGCGCAGGTTTCGCGTGGCAAAAAAAGCATGATACGCGCGTCAGGCAGGTATTCCGACGACAGCTCCTTGTGCGTATACCTTTTATCGTATGCACGCGCTTGCACGCATCGAGCGATCATCATCGACCACGTGCGTATGCGGCGCAATTTCGTATGCCTCGCGATCGTGGAGATTCCTTCGAGTTTTTAGGCGCAGTCGAAGCGAGCGTACGCTTCGTTGGCTATATATTATGATTGATTTATTCGCGAGCTCGAGTTACAGCGATCGATGCGTTTTCGCGTCTTTTTACGAATATCGATATGAATTACACGGCGTTGAATAAAAAAAAATACCATTAACCGCGAGATACCGCAGTGCAAAGCATAGAACAATGGTCAGCGTGTTCAGTTTGGAACCTATATACACGATCCATTCTTGACCATCATTCATTTACGTAATGGCTTTCTTGTACGAGAGGCAGAGAGCGAACCGTGCTTAGATTAGGCGAAGAAAAGCACCCGAGCTATAGGCAGCTTTTGTCGGTTAGTCGAGTGTATGCAATATCGTATCACGCAATTACACGCACACGTGGGGGGGCTCTCTCTCTGCGTTTCCGAATGCTAGTGCTGAGTCAAGCTGCACAAAAAAGCGCCTCGTCGAGTCGCGCCGCACACCCATAAGGATGATTAGAATATCGACCCGTGACGCGGATAGCGGATAGGACTCTCCGGGCCGCGTATATATAGATTTCACGCGGAAAGAGAGAGAGAGAGAGAGAGAAAGAGAGCGCTGCTATCATGAAAGAAAGCTCAGACGTGCGCACGGCCACAGAGAGCTCCGTTTTATATGCTGGGTGCTATAGCGTCTGGCTTTTTCGAGTGCTTGCAGCAGCAGCTCCGGGCCGCGCCTATCGCGATCGCAAAAGCCGTCAAAGCAAACACTCGGGCCGTACTGTATATACAGAGTCCAGTCTCCAAAGTAATTAGCCTCGGCCGCGCGGGTGCAAGTGTGAATATATCGCCTCGTTTTATACGTGTGAAAGGGTCGAACGGCAGCAGCAGCAGCAGCTCCGAGGCAGATTCAAAGAAACTGAGGCTAGACTTTTATACACACAGAGTATACGCATTGCGAGAACTCGAGCCTGGCCATTTTGCAAATTACACGACGATAAGCTTTAAAAGATCTGCTGCTGCTGCTGCTGCTGCTGCTGCTTTGGCTGATGCTTTTTTCAAAGGATCATCGCGAGAAAAGAGACAATGGAAGATTCAAAGGGATGTAATGAGATACGACGCGTTCGAGTAGCTCGTTGATGAGCTCTTTCTCTCTCTCTGCTCGGCAGGAAGTCGAATGGATAATTTTCCTCGCGGGGCCCCTTGGAAGGCGACGACGGCGAAGTCGCGCGCGCACCTTTGAAAGACGACGACGACGACTCGAGATCTCGTAGCGGCAGTAGCAGCACTTATTCTCTTCCCCATTTTTTTTTTTTTTTGTGTCGAGGCGTTATAATAACATACAATTTAAGGCCGTCACGCATTGTGAATATCTCTCCCTCGCAGAGCGCGTTAAAAGCTGCGGAGTATAGCTCTAGCGTCAAGAAGTTCGCCACGAACGAGAGAGTATTCGCACCTTCCCAGAAAGCCGCGTAATAGTTCACGTTTCATCGCTCGTTTTTCGTCGCGCATTACAATAAATACCACAAGCTTAAGTCGACGACTGTATAGTAAGTAGGCATCAATTCGATCTATCTCGTATTATGCATTATATGTATCGGCCGCGGCTTTCACGCGCATGCAGCTTAAACCGCAGAAAATGAGCTTGTGCTACGCGACCCGATGACAACCGCGATCGGATCTCAGTATAACGTAAGTTGCTTGCGTGCACAAGTGATCGTCTTCTCCCCGCCGCCGCACAACCTTTCGAGGAGATCATCGTCGCGCTATATAAAAATGCTGAAATTTTCTTTAAAAACCCGGAGAGAGAAGAACGTGCCGATCGTTTCGAATAAAAAATAACAAAAAGGAAGAAAAAGTAAGAGAAGACGTGTGCACTAGAGGTCGAAGAAGAAGAAGAAGAAGCAGCAGCACAAGAAGAAGGAAGGGAGCTGGAAGAGAGCAAGTGACGAGTAGGCCGCCGTAGAGCTCTCTTATGTAGCTCGCGCAGCAGTTCTCGCCTCTCTCGCTGCTGCTGCGACTGCCAGGCTCCGCCTTCGCAAAAGCCGGCGCGCATGCATCGGCCAAGATGGCGTCGACGTGACTGTATATATATATACACATGTACGCATACACATGCATATAATATGTATATATACTATATATACATGTGTAGTCGCGCGAGCTCACTCCACTGCACTCGGGATGTACGTATGTATATACGAGGAGTAGCAGCAGCAGCAGCAGCAGTAGCGACTGACCCTCTTCGGGCTGTGCTCGCAGCGTCGACTCGTGTATATAATAATACACACGTACATAATACCCGGGAGCGCGTGTGGAGGAGGTCGTCGCAGACAAGAGAGCAGGAGCTTGTGCGCGACGCGCTTCGCTGCCTCTTCCTTCCTGCGTCGTCATCGTCGAGTCACAAAGTCCCTGCCCTTCGACCTGTGCGCGGCTGACTTGCATCTGCTTCTGCTTTCGTGTTCATCGACTTCGAGCGGGTCAGCTGCTGCTGCGGCAACGAAATGAATTCGTGTGCGCGCACATAGTGTGCGTCGGTGCAAAAAGAAAAATCGACGAAGAACGACAAATTTATGCCAAATCATTGATTGCCTTTATCGGCGCTCAGCATCGACTTCCCATAAATCAGGTTAAAAATAAAGGAATGAAAAAAAAAGAAAAACATTTAAACTGCCGTATCCAATTGTGTGTGAGTTTGCTTCAAGTTAATGTATATTATATCGTCAGGATCGGACGAGGAAGAATCGAGTGAATATATTTTAATAAATTCATCATGTAGCCGATAGATGCCACATAATATATCGTTGAGAATTGGCCCGATGATGTTTGTGTATATGCTGTGTCGGTCGTGCACCGAAGTACGCACACGAGTAGCCCATAACATATATAAGACACGATTCTTCGTGGGGCAGCTATTCTCGTATTCTCTGATTGTTCGCCTCTATACGCTCATTTGCCTTTAAAAGTAGAGATTCTCCTTGTCCGGCGAGAAATTATTCATTTATTCACTTCTGACAGCCGGGCGTACATATATATATAGGTACGCGTCGTCCGCTCGACACAATCACGCGTGTGTGTGTGTGTGTGCAGTTACATATACTCGCACTCGAACACACACACACACGAACACGTAATTATTATACACGTGTAGCAGCGGTCGAGGTTGGCAAATTTTATCGTACCTCTTTCCGTAGCTTTTATGATGTGTAGCAAAAATTTTCACGCTCCGAAAGCATTTGATAGTCGAAGTGTGCGCTGCGAGTACGAGTTCGGAGAAAAAATAAAACGAGAGATTTGAATGAAAGAAGAGAGAGAGGAGTTGCTACGTATATATTATACATATGAGATTTTTGTCATTATACGTGAGTCGAGGCACTCACACACACACACACGTACACACACTCGTGGCGTAGAGAGGGCGAGCCAAAACAGACGTATCGACTTGCAGCGCGCGCGCGCCTGCGAACCCCGGCAAAAGAATAATATTATAAGGGAGAAATATCGGGTTTCACCTTCTATACCGGGGCCCCGAGAGAGAGGAGCTATTTATCCTGGCCGGTGCATTCATTTTTCGACCTCTGAAACGAGCGAAATGAAACGGAGGAACGCACGCCCGTTTCTGTGTATACGCTCTTATAATATGGCACATACACACACACACAAGAAGGAAGCACACGTGAAAGAGAAAGATGGGTGAAAAAGCACGTGTTGTCCGCAGGCAGCTACCTGCGCAATTTTTCACCGCTCCGATTGTAGAGAGTAGCTCGAAAAAAAAACGAAGTTCTCTCTCTCTCTCTGATGCTTCTGTATGCTAATTTTTCGCGTCCATATCGCGCGCGCGCGAGCGGCTCGTATGTAGTTGTCTTTGGCGTTTCCTCCTCCCGGTTCTACGTACGGTGCAGGCAGTACGTTTTTGAGCCATATATAGTCTTGGACACTGCTCTGCCTGCGTTGTATATCCATCGTTAATTTTCAACATATGTATATATAGCGGCAAGCTCGCGACTCGCGTTGTTTTTTCGCAGCTCGATTCGAATTTCAAACGAATCGCGTTGGCCCTGTTAAACAATCGGCCCAACAATAAGCCAGCTCTGCGCACACAGGATAATATGAATAAAGAGAGAAACGAATCGAAGAACATAAGGCTCGCGAGAAAGGGACTCTATACGGCACGCGAGCGAACGAAATGAAAAAAAAAAGCTCCTCGAATTGCCGCACACACGCACGTCACGTCCTCGCAAGCGCAGATATAATATACAACACGAGTTCCTGCCTTTAACGTTATATACCTGCGCACCTTACACGCAGTCTTCTACTCTGGCCTTGGCCGACGATAAGATATTCCGCGCACGAGCTCCGATAAACAACGAATTTCGTCGTATGTACTACGCGCGCTGCGACGTCGTTGTATATAACGATAAAAAAAAACATGAAAAGCCCAAAGCCTCCGCCTGTACGGGCGTGAAATTTTCGAATTTATCGTACTACCGATTCGCCGCGGCAAACAACGCGGCAGCTCTACACCTAGGTGAAGTAAGGATTTTTTGTTGTCGTTGTCCATAAGTTAAAAGTGTGCTGCTACGCGCCGCGAATTTACGACCGGCCGAGCTTCTTGAGGATATAAGCCAGTCCTTTTATTCGCGCGCGGGCATGTCTATGCGACGATGTTTTTTTCCCTATTCTACGAAAGTTAAAAACGATGACAGCTCGAGAGAGACACATAGACACGGAGAAAGGCAAAAGTTTTGGCAGAGCCGCGGCGGCGGCGGCGGCGCGCGCATAATATATAATACACATATATAAATCCAGGCAAGGAAAATATCGGGCGCCACTCGGAATGGTAATTGCCGCTTGATTTATCGCTCGTTAATTCGCTCGTCATTATATGCTTCCGATCTCTTCCTTCGTTCTCTCTCAGGCTCTTTCGTTGTATATAATATACTTTACGTATATGTTTGTATAAACCTCCGTGGACACTATACTTTATGCGTGCTGCGTGTGTTATAATATAATGCTAGAAAAATGTCGAAATATGCCCCCAAAGTGAGCGGTAAAAAAGACGTCGTCGTCTCTCGCATGAGCGCGCGCCCGGGCTTAATTAATTAGTTTCTTTCAGCTGGGTTGCAAAGCTTTTCAAAAAAAAAAATAAACTACTTCTACTACTGGCCACATCTCTGGCCTATGAATGCGTGTCTCTCTGTGTGTATATAACTTATAATACAAACATCAGGTAGCTCGTTCGGCTCTCCTCGAGGGAAAAGAAAAGAGGGCACGAGCTATATGAAACGAGGTGAGCAAAATCTTTTGAGTCAAGGATTAAGCACGACGACACGGTCAAACAGTCGCTCGAGGCGGCTAGATTTTGGATAATAAATAAATAGAATAAGCTGCAAAATTCTTTATACTCACTGTGCGCGTAGGCATGATGAGCCGGATTGGCGTGGCTGTAGTAGCCCCGGTAATCGTTGCCGGAGCTGTTGCCCTGGGCGGCGGCGCTGACCGCCGCTGCGGCGGCGGCCGTGGCCGAGACCGGGTCGAGATTCGCCCGGCTCGGCTCGTACCAGCGCACCGCGTTGCTCGCTTCGCTGCTCATGCTGGTCATATCCATCACGTAGTCGAGAATCGTGCCGGCTTTTTCGTTGTCCTGTTGGTGGCGACGGATGACGCGCTTCTCCGAGCTAAGTCGGCGAAGTCGCGCTATCTGACTCACCGAACGGAGCACAAATAAAAAAAGGACCCCGACGACCCTGCTGCTGCTCGACTGCTGGTCAACGCGCAGCAGTCCTCCTACTACTCTACTTCTTGGACACCTGGTGGTGATGGACGAATGCGGATTTTGCTACTCGTCAGGGGGCAGATTATTTCCTTTGAGTCATTAGATCTGCAAAAAAACGAAAAAAACGAAACGACCATGACTTATATATTTTTTTTTCATTTCGTAAGTTACAAAGTACATAATATTTTTTAACTTTTTAACATTTTTTTTCAATATTTTTTCCATGCGTAACTCTTATCACACGCTCCTTTAATGCCTACGTACACGAAAAATTCATTATCTCGCGAGTCTGAACTCAAGTCGCAGAGATACGCATCTTTCTTCAAAGACGTTCGGATTTCGGACCTTATCAATTTACCGATTGATTCATGCAAGATAACGCCTTCGGAACCCGATAAAAATATGCGCGAGCTCGACTTACAACAAAAAAAAAAAATAATAAAATAAAATAAAATATATATTTGTCCCTTTGACCGCACGCGCGCGCGCGTAAAAACCGATTCTCCGTTCGGGGCTTTTTCGCCCGGCCCGAAAAATATCCGTATCGTCCGTTGCAAGCAGCAAAGTCATTTCGATATTTCTCGAGTGCCGCTCGAATTATTATTGACGTATGAGTTAAAAAAAAAAAGAAAGAAAAAAGCGACTTAGTGCAGGCTTAGCGAGAGATTAGCTGGCACACGAGCACCGAGCTTATTTTCATAAATTCCATATATTATGATAGCTTGATTTTTTTTCTATTTTACAAACCGGCACGTGCGAGCACGATTTTACAATTATTTAATCTTATCGATTTAATTGCATTAGCCAGCAAAAAACAAAAAAAAAACTGCAACTATATATGTGTAGCAGAAAATTAATCATTATGACACGCACGATTCGTCTGTTTTTTTCTTCCTTTTCTTTTCTTTTTTTTTACTCAATGAAATTGATACACTTTAATCCTATCTCATATGTACTTACAAGCTTTGGAGAGTTTATAGTAATCTCAGTTGCAGCGCGAGCGCCTATCACTTGTCGCACGCTCGTAATAATTGTCAAACGATAAGGTCTCGGGAATCGCAGTTAAATCAACAAATAATAATATAGTCAGGCGCACACGATGTACACACACGGACACACAGAAACACATACACACTTCTAGGCGTCTGTATCTCTCTCTCTCTCTCCGTCTTGGATCGATGAAATTGGGATTTTGATGGACAGAGCTCGAGCAAGCCCCACAAAATGCGACCGATCGGCTCGGGTGATAAAAACTGAATGGGGTTTTATTAAATGCGATCGCACTCGACGTAGAGGAGACACTGAGGCCCGCGCGATAAACTCCAAATTATTTATCAGCGAAATTCATCGATTTATCAAGGTCAATCTGACGCAATATATCAATACGCACACATCAAGAAGTGTATGTGTGTGTATGGAGAGAAGCGCCGCGCGCGAACGAGCAATATTATTTGTTAACGCTCGTCGCCACTGCCCCCGCCGCCACCGCCACCGACGCCGATGCAGTGCGCCGCGGCCATAATATTTGCATTCGCGACGAAGCGACGCACGATCGTGTGTGCACGGCGCTGCGCTACTACGACTATTTTCGTCGTCGTTGTTCGAGTTACGATTATTTCGATATACATTTTTATAACATGATCGATCGGTACGAGCGTCGGCGGTGGCGGCCCATCGTCGTCATTATTATTATTATTTTACATTAGGGCGAAGCGCAAAAACTCGTGCGCGTGTGTGTGTAAGGCGAAAATTATTTTGCTGCGACGTTTGGCAAATAAAGTACTCGACTGACAAAAGACGATAAGATATTGATCAACTTTTTTTTTCTTCTTCTTCTTTTTCTGTATACGTGCGCGGCTAAGAAAGTGTATCGATAAAATCAAGCCGATCGCGCACAAGTCGAGAAATATGTATACGTATAAAGTTCATCGTGCACTAGGCAACGGCGAGTCGAGGAAAATATATATAATATATACATATCAATCAACGAACGCGATATATTTTGAGAATTTTTGCCAATTTTTTTTCTAGAGCAACTAAGATAACTATAAATGCACGAGTCATTGCCTTTTATTGGATAGTTTTTTTCCTTACAAATAGCTTTTAGATCGATATAGAACGTTGTGACTTGAGTTATTAGACACACTGAATTTGAGAATTTGATTTTGAAATATTTAAATCTCTTGAAGGCGTATCAGTTTACTCTGATTCACGCAGGTATTTATTTTCGACCGATTCAATTACCCACCGAGTTGGGGAATCATCGTGATTTGTTTTTATAGATTCCGTTTATCGAATATTTTCGATGTATAACAATCGACGAAAAAAGAAACAAATAATTTCGGTCGGTCAACACATCGGGTGTATAAAAATCCAATACTTCGAGACCGTCGTGCAAAATAAATAAGTAAAGAGTGTGTGTCCAGCGTTGGCGCGCGTTTTTTTTTTCTCTTCATTATCTCTCTCGTTTTTTCGTCGTAAAAATTACTATCGCGCACCGATTCGATGTCGAGCGCGATTTACTTCGCGTTGCGCGAGGCGCAATAAAGTAATCAATCAAATTCGCTCGGCTATCTCCCGAGAATGGGCTAAAATACATGTAAGCTTAAAATTCTGACTTATCGAAAGGCAGCAGCAGCAGCGGCAGCCGCGATAAACGATCTGGTGATATTTTTCACGTATTCGTATCGCATTTCAGAATATTGAACCTTGCTCGTCCTTGAGCTCAATTGTGCAAAAAGTAAAGTAGAGTGAAGTTGCTGCTGCTGCTGCTGCTTCCTCCTTTGTGCCGAGCGATCGTGCGTGAGTATTCGAGTGAGAGAGAGAGAGAGAGAGACCCATGGCCCAACGAAACAAAAAAAGTCGAAAGGATCAGAAGCGAATTTTGAGATTACTTGCTGGTAGCTCCCAAGATCGAATTTCTATCTTGAATGAAACTTTTTGACTGTTGTACGTGTGTACAGCAGAACGAAACACTCGAAATTATAAATGTTTCAGAAGAGGACTAGACATATTTAATTTATTCTTTCGTCGCGATGATTTCTAATTTAAGAATTGAATCGATCATAAAATTATATGCAAGTACTTCCAACTAAATTTAACACGCTCGGGGCAATAAAAACGTAAGTTGCATTACAAAAGGGTAAAAATAAGATTTACACGTTTTTTCCTCGAACACGTCCAAGCGAAACTGTCCAATCGTCATTAATACTTCGTGTCATTCCGAGTCGGTCTTTTCAAGTGTTACAAAGAGTTGAATTTATTTTTATTTTGATTCCGATATTATTGAACTCGCGTCGCGTTAGATGCGTCGAGATTACACTATTCGGCGCGCGACAATAATTACATTTCTGTATGTATAATACACACAAAAATTTTATCGTCCTCTTGAGATTTTCTATATACCTGTCACAATCCCTGGGCTTATAATACACTCCCACCCACAAAAACCGTGAATATATCATCTAGCGCTGCTTCTTGTTTTCATTACATTCCAATACCAAGAAAGCTACTTAACGCGACTCAATAAAAAGTTTACAAGTGAGTAGTAGTAGCAGTCGACACTCGAATTTAAATGTATTCGTACACGGCTTCAATTAAATAAGAAAACTCATGTCTCGGGTTTATGGATTTACTGCGTGTAAGTTTTCTTGTAATGCTCTCTCTCCGAAATCCTCGCATCTAAATTTCATAATTCTGTATAGTGCAGTTTCTCGTAATTAACTTATCTAAATAATGAATTATTTTCAGGTGTAAAACACGCCAGGTACAATAATACAGAACATTAACTCTCGAAAAATTCCAGAGTCGATCGATCGAAACGATCTCGTGGCAGCGCGTCAAATTTATTCCAAGTCGAATCATCGTCGTGCTGCGTACGCCGGGATTTATTATTCTTTAGGCTCGAAAAACTACTGCGTGCGAGTCTCTTTTCTTTTTCTTTTTTTTTTTTTTTAACTTTACTCAACACCGGCTGTTATCGTATATATATATACGCGCGAGGCAAGAGAGTAAATACTTGGCCGTTCACACCCATATAAAACCGCGAGAAGTTATCCTGCATTATAATCTTATCGTCGCTCGGCGATCGGCTAAGCAGCGGCAGCGTAAAACCTGGGCTGTGCTCTGTTATATTTGGACTCGTGTGTATACGCGTACAGTAGCAGTACGTTCGTAAGAGATAAAGTGAGTTATTGTGTCTATCCGTTTATCCAAACGAGCGATATTGGATTTCGATGCTCTCTTTCTCTCTCTCTTGTACACTCAGTCCACAAGGAGTAACAGAGATCCACCTACATATTTTTGTCTGCTATAAGCCGGGCATTTAACTCCATTGTCTCTTTCTTTCGAACCTGTTCTCCTCGCTCTCTTAGATATCGACTTATTTCTCTCTCTCTTTCTCTCATCGGATCACGACGGCATGTAAATTTGAATCGAAAACTCGAGTGTCGACTAATCAATCAAGTCCCTACATACGTATTACTTCAAGACGTATAACCAATATAAGCTACTCTCTTATACACTCGGCATTTCTATAGAAAATTTTCCGGCTATATATTGGCGTGTAGCATATACAATACAGCAAGTGCTACACACAGACGCGCCCGAATCCTTTTTTTTTTATTGTTTTTTTTTTTTTTATTACTCGACTCCGCTCCGAGAGGCACTTGTGTTTTATTTTTTTTTTGTTCAACTGCACGTATATATAAAGAGAGTCCGCGCGCGCGTGCGCGCAATGACTTTACAATCGTATACTCCAATTAAGGATCGGATCATTAGCAGCGCTTACTCCACACAATAGCAAATACTTATAAGAGCCCTATACGTACACTTATATTATATACATACGAGTTTAAGCAACGCAGAGAGCAGCAGAAAGAAGTATTATTCATGTACGCGTGTACCGAGCTCTCGTATGTATACGTGCTTTTTGCACCGCGGGCGGCGGCGCAGTGCAGCGCGGCGTCGGCGCGACTCTCAATATTGATCTCAATAACTCAACGCATAGAGTTCCCTATGTATATATGGCACAGCGCTTCACACACAGAGTAGTGCGTTTATAAGTACTAAATCGAAAAAAATGTTTTGACTCGAGGATCCCCTGGCCACAAAGAACGGAGAACGAACCAGAGGCTTGAAAGACGACCCACCGCAATGCGGGATCGAGTGTGTGTAGTGTAGTGTATAGTGTATGGACAAAAAGGGCAACGAGCAACGGAGAGAATCGATGAGCAAAAAACGGGGAAAGAGAAGAAGAAACGATTTTATATACCAATAATATATTCGATGAAAAATCCTCTTACCGACGATTTGCGTCTACTATAACCATACTTTCAATGAATGCGAGCGAGCAGAAGAAGAAGTAGTAGCGCCGGAAAAATATGTACGACGTCGTGTACTTTAAAGGGATTCTGCTGCTACATCGTGTAAGTTATTAGCGGTCGGAGATATTTTTGACGGCTTTTCGCCGCCGCGTATAGAAAGCCGGAGAGGATTGCACTACGACACACCGAGTGATGTACGATCGTCGAATTTGTTCGTACGTCGCAATCGAGAATCGCGACTAAGCTTGAAGTACGCAAAAATATGTTAATGCAAGCCGAATAAATTATTTTCACAATCGAAATTAATCGCTCGTTATACTTTCTTTGAGAGGCGCTCACCGGGGTAATAATTTATACCGAGCTTTGCTATGCTACCATCACCAATAGAAAATGCATTCAAATTAGGCACTCGAAAAAAAACTTTCCCCTCGCATAGATTCTCTCGAGTTGTACCCAAAAATTCTCGAGCATCTTGAAAACCTCATCGTTGTCCAGAGAGCAAGGTGTGTAATACGTACGAAATTAAAAGAAGGCGTATAGATACTCGAACGTGTCATCGGTAATCACGTGCTCTGTTTGCTTGTTATATGATTAACGCGGACGCGAGCGAGATTTGTCGCGATCGTATAAATCCGACAATTTTATATATTCTCTCGGGCTGCCTCGAGAGGTTTGTGTATAATAAGTCGTATAAACGTCCGTACCGGGCCCGGCGCAATAAGCTCGTCCCTTATTCGGTAATTTCATCCGACGACGACCAAGTTTCGCAGGCCCAAAAACCACTACCTCGTGAGCTTTTGCGTCTCTAAAATATTTCTCCCGCGCGTGTACGTGTGTGTGTGTGTTTGTGTCTCGTATTTGCGCCCCGCGAGATACATAAATAAAAAAAAAAGAAACGAATGCATATGTGTGCTGCACACGCAGCGAAGAATCAAGCGAACCTATATAACGAGAGAGTTGAAGGAGAATGAAGAAGAAGAAGCAGCAGCAGCAACACCGTGAGATGTATACCGCAGCTCTCAAATTTCAGCCGCAGAGATATCCGCGCGCGCGCGACGATATTTATCCGGCGTGCACATATTGCTCGACGATCTTCTTCTTCTTTACTTTAACTTCGAGATCGTTGTGCATTTCGCACACAACACACACACACGTAGTCTTTCGCTCCTGCGGCTGTTAATTAACCCGAGCCTACGGTCGCGAATTCATGTTTTCTGAATGACGTATTTTGCACTACAAGCGTCGACTCGACCGTCGTCGTCGTCGTGTCTTGGCCGTACACGCATATAACGCGTATAGAGAGCAAAAAAAAATGTATATATAAAATATCAAGAGTCGACTCCGGAGTCGAGAGCCACCGTCGGCCAGCTCTCCGAGTTTCGCGCGTGTTTCATTTATCATTCGCAATACATGTACTTCCGAAAACTGTGTGTGGCGTTGCTGCTGATACTCCTCCGCTCGCATCGACGATCGAGAGCGATACTAACCGTTGATTTGGGCGATCGTTCGTTATTATATACCTGTATCTCAGATCATAATATGACATCTCGCGTCGAAACGACGAACATTTCTTTCTACGCAGCAGAATTTACGAGAAAAAAATAACGCATCTCGTCGATGCTGTTATCGCGCGAGCTGATATATCGCGAGTGCTCCAAAACGTACTTTATATAAGTCGAAGTTCGACACCGGCCAATAGTAATTACCGAACGATCCGATACGACGAATCAAAGTTAAACGTATTGACGATTTTTTCCCCATATGCACTTCGATTCGCTAATAAAATACACACCCCGCTGTGTGTGTGTACGCAGTTTTATGAATTGCTGTCAGCGAGCAACGACGACGAAGAGTAGCGTCGCTATCTAAATAGGTCGCCGCGGAGCTATTTGCACTTTTTTCCTTAGCCGGTAGCAGAAAAAAAACGCCGGCAGGAAAGAATTGAGCTAATGATTTTTGATCCTACATCGATTGACTATCGATAAATACACGATAAGCTCTCCGAAATCCGGTATAGTAGCACGCACAATTTGTCAAGTCGATGTTTGACTTGAATGAGTCAACTATCTCTCTCTCCTTCTCTATTACCGAGAGCTTCATGCATAAACAAAAGTGTGTATAGCGAACTAAAATTTTCCAACTGAGCGGCAAGTCGTAATGTTTATTCGATCTATCTTGTTTGAACGCAATACGGCAATGAATAAATTTGCACTTCGCATAGTGGACGGAGAGAAAGAGACGACGATGTGTATATGCACACGTTTTATTCGTGGAATATCTTGTCAATAATACGCAGACGAAACGTCACACTGTTTTGACCGATACCCCCTTTCATCGCGTTCAATCGATTTTTGACTTAACCGAGAGCGTAGAGTTTTTGCGAGCGAGATCGAGATCGGTACTCTACTGTACGGTCACTGTGTAGTTGCAGACGAAATCGCGAGTAGCCGTCGGGCCGTAAAACTGTCATCACTCCTATATGAACGAACACTCGATCTGCGTTAGATGCTTTTCGTTTGTGCTCTTACCTGCTTTCTCGATATGCAGCCGTCGAGTGATCCTCTTGACGAACTTTTAAAAACTGTCACAAAACTGAGGGCTGAATTTGCAATAAAGTGCAATTATCTTTGTGATCACTGTTATCAGTAATAACCGACGGCTTCTTTCTCTATTTTTTATTTTATTATTATATTTATACAATTCACTTGGGCTTGTCACTGAGACTTGAACCGAAGACAATCACCACGTTACACACTGCACACTCATAATAATAATAATAATACAACACTTGTTATCACGACACATTATTATTGTCCACTGCTGCTCGTCCCGGTTGCTTAGCAGCGGTTGCTGGCAGTGTTGCTACTCCCATTCGAACGAACTTTTCGTTTTTGTTGTTTTTTTTTTTTTTTATTATCCTCAACGAGTCGACATCGAGTTTCTAGTTGCGGTAACAATACGATATCGTTGCACTAACGAAGGCTCGAGGAATCATCTCAACGAAATTGCAGCATGACGAAGCGTCGGCTGGATATATAATGCATATATAGATATGCACGGGCGCGTGTGCTGCTGCTGCGAACGGCCCCGGCGATATATATCGCTGCCTGCGAATATATCCTGCGAAACGCGCGCGCACGAGCTGTGCTGCTGCTGCTGCTGCTGCTGCTGTGTGCTGCGCAGCGTCACACGGAGAATCGATGTAGTCTTTCTGGCACTCGGCACTTAACTAACCCCGCATCGTGCTCCGAGCGGCGGGAGAAGCGGTTCGCACGGCTCCGCTGCGCCGACGTTCTCTCTTGCCCCCACCCCCCGTTCGTCGCGGCTGCCCATCCCCACCACTCGGTGTAGCGCGAGACAAGCAGCGCCACTCGGTCGCCTCGGAGTTTCTCTCTGCCTGAGAAGGCCTGGCGGAGCTGCGCGCGGAGGCTGGGGTGGGGGACTCCAACGACGTATCCCTACCCAACGTCGGTGTGGCCACGCCCCCCTGTGGTGCTGTCGTGAGCCAGACGGACGTCGGAGGCGGTCGCTTCGGCCGAGTTGCGTTCTCCTTGTGCTGCCTGGTGTGCGTATAGGAGCATCGCCCCCCCTCGCTCCCCCCCTCCTCCCCTTTCGACCCCTTCTCCCCCTTCCTACGTACTGCACGCTGCCGCTTGACGCGCGCGCACGAGTCACGATTTCTCTCCCACAGCACCTGCACGACCTCTACGCAGCGTGAACTTTCTTTTGTTCGATTCTACGAGTCTATGTGTCTTCGCGCGATGCAATTCGAGAGCTTATACAGCGTCAGCTAGTCTATAATGTTCACTGACTTTTTTTCCATCGTTTTTACAATGCTCTGCTTTATTTGCTCGTTGGGCTTCGCAGCGATGCTTACTCGTGTAATTAAACGTTAAGTATGTAGCATCAACTGCGAATCATCCGGTGATTTTTTTTTTCAATCTTGATGTTATCACGGCGCGGTGTACAACTGATAAGGAGTAAATAAAACAACTGTAAATTGGATTGTCCTTAGTTATTGGTCGATTGTAAAATACTCAGTAATTCACAGAAATGTATGCATCTATTGTATCATTAGATTGAGAGAGTTATTTAATTGAATGGATGGAATGCCTTTTGATTTAAGATACGTCTTTACTTCGATGAAAGTTTATTTGATGCAAGCCGTGATTTATTTGGTTCAGTCAAGAAAATAATTTCTTTGAAACGAATGAATTGGTTTACATTTTCTTTGACTTTTAAATTTCATAGAAATGTTACTATAATGTAAATTAAATTACTTTTATCCTCATAAAGTAATAAAATGTATGCAATGATTCATGGATACATTTTTTGTAATGATTTTGAATTTGATATTGTTGAATATCATTCCAAATTCAGTAGATTTTATTTAGAAGATGCTAAAAACTGATTTATCATTGTGTGAAGAAAAGTTTCACCTGTTCAATGAAGTTTTCTTCCTCCGTGTAATAAAATTCTGTTAAGTGCTGTTGGAAATTACTAAGAAAAAGGCTGATGCAACTTCAGGAAAAATTTTCAGCTATTTAATTTGTATAAAAAGATCAAAGAGGTTGCAAAATATTTATAATATGAATAGATTCTTTTGCTTTGACTTGAACTTCAAGTCAATTAGATATAATCCTAATTTGTGCACTAGAAGAAAGGTCACACGTATACTAAAAAATTGTAATGATCATTAAAATATATTAATAATACTGTAGGTAGGTTTTTTCATTAAAATATGGAGTAAACATTTTTATATAACTTTCAACTTCATATGACTGATGGTAAGTTGGACTTCATATAATGATAAAAATAGAAAATGGTATTTAATAAAAATATATAAGTTGATTACAATCAGTTTTATATTAATAATTACTTAAAAATTATTATTTTTGTAATAACTGTAATACCTCTAAGAATAATGTTTTGCCTTCATTTATGTTTAATTTTAGAGTAGTCCTGATTTGAATTAATCGGAAAATCCGATTTAATCTTTCAATCACAATCTCATCTTTAATATCATAATTTTTATAAGCCATAAATAAAAAACCAAACATAAGAGGGAAATCGTTTATATACTAATATTATTCAGTGAAAATATAGGAAGACAAAAAATGTATGCCTAAACTAAAAGGAATTTTTTTACTGCATCATGAAAACAGGAAATTCATGGCTCATGAAAACAATATTTTGTCTAGTAATATAAAATTTTAAGATTGATTTACATGAGCTCGTATGAAATAAATCGCATTCGCCAAATAGCATTTTTTTGAACATTTAACGTGAAATGCAGTCTTCTTCATAATACACAATCATTTCTTTTAGTGCAATTTTATCAACATGAAGAAACACAAAGTAACGAGAATAAAAATCATAATTTCTTTGATTCCAATAAATTCTTGCATATTTTTTTAAATTACACAGTTAACTATTATTCTACTTATGAATAGCTCGTACGAGCTAACTCGGGGAATATAATGCACAGAAGCTGCTGTAAAATAAGTTCAATAAAGCGTGCGCACTGTCTTACGCACACAAATACACAAATACAAGCACTCGGGCATACAGTAGAAGCTCGTTCTCTGTTGGACGCGTGCGTAAGTGTTTCTCTCCCTACATACATGTACACACACACACTCACAGTATACACTGCGAAGAATGGCACGGGCACGATTCACGAGCGAGAGAGAGAGAGAGAGAGAGAGAGAGAAAAGGGGGAAAACAAGCGAACAATCTGTAGAAGCTTGTCGCAGAAAGCAGCGCAAAGCCGAGTGACTTCGTATAGGATACTTACAGCCGTATAGATCAGCCAATCAGATATGAAGCGCCCCCCATTGTCACAAAATGGCGGCTCTAAATCAGCGAACCCTGTCAGCCCCGCCTCTGGCCTCTTGCCGCGTCCCCCCTCCCCTCCTCGCTACCTGCCCGCCTGACTGCCTGCGCGCGCGAGGCGAGCGGCAAAAACTCCGCCTAGGATCGATTCAGACGCTACTTGCCGCGCTTGCTTCTTTCTTTCTTTCTTTCTTTCTTTTTTTTTCAACAATTCAGCTCGAGAGCTCCTGTGTCTCTACCCTCGTGTTATATCCGCGTAAATGTAAGACTTACTATACTTTTGTTTCTCTCCGTTCGACCCGAAGAGTTCTTTTTTTTCACAATTAATGGCGTTGACCGCCAATCGTACGCGATTCTAGACAGAAATAAGTTATTTAAATCGAATATCATGATGATTTAAATTTTCAAGAGTATAAACTTCGAATATAATATGCGGAAATTTGTGTTGTAAAAATTAAAATTGAAATATTGAACATGGAAAATGTGTGACATCTTTTCATAAAAAAAATAATGTAGAAATCATTGCAAGTATTCTTATATTATCTGTATTCCTAATTGGTTTTATGTAAAATATGCTCTAAAATTTATAATGCTACATAAATAGCAATAATTTTACTGTAAAAAAATTATTTCTTTTGCATTTGATTATATAATAAAAAAAATGTAATCAATGTAATGTGCATAATAAAATGTATCACTATAACAATTGAATTATATTGTACTATAGTAAAATTCAGCATATCTTGCAAACTTTTGAACAATATATTTCATAGTTAGCTCATCGCCACGAGATGTCGCATTGCCAAAACCCCCATGCGGCAAAGTTCCATCGTGATTTATATAAAAGTAAAGTATATTTATTGTATATACATTGCAGTTTTATAATTTTCTTAAATATTCGATTTAAACATCATTTGTTTTTAGATTTCTAAAATGGTAAAAAAATACAAAAATCAAGAAGAAATAATTTGACTTTTTTAAAAGACTAAAACTAAAATTCTAAAGTACTTTCAAATAAATACAAAAAAATAATATTTTCTGATTATTATCAAAAGCTGCCCTAATTTTTCGTTTTCTCTTTTTAACATCAAAACACACAATTTATTAAGTAAAAGTATTAAAATACAGTTTATTTTTATGACTTTTTTCATACATTGAGAATTGCTCGTACATCAAATACATAAATTTTATCCATTCTGAGATTATTGAACCTAGCTTGTCTGAGTAAATTGCTACATTGCTACATTGTTACTGATGATCTAATTTTTTTAAAGAGATTTCATTTTCAATCTGATCCAATCTAAATAATAAGGTACATTGGTGAATACATCTGGATGTATGTTGGATCTATTGCAATGGAGACCATCTCCAAAACTAACGACTCCAACTAAAATACCATTTGTAGTTACTGCTGGTCCACCGGAATCAGACTAAAAAATATAAAATTTAAGTTAAATATGCTAATTCCCAAAAAAGCAATCCAATTTATTTGTAAATTTGAAAATGAAGAGATAACTTTAATACAGCTTTCAATCAAATCTGCACGAGCATTCGACTTGTTATTATCTTAGACTCACTGATGTGTATTCTCAAACAAGAGTTAAAAATAATTCGTTCGGTCAGGTCTTTTAATAAGTACGAAAAAAAAAGTGCGATAAAGTTATAATACTGCAAAAAAGATTACCTCCATTCAACCATTAATTTTTAATTTTTACTTACGTTGCATACTCCTTGGCCTTTTTCACCTGACAAACAGATTACTCCATTGTCTGAAAATTCATCCATAGTTCTTTTAGAAATCTTTTCCCAAATGCCTTGACATTTCTGACGATTGACAACTTTCATTTTCAATGCTCGAAGTTCAACCGGATGGCGTCCTTGTGCCTAAAATAAAAATTTCATTTGAAATAATTTTGATGTTTCAACAGTTTAATGATTTGTAGAAAATAAACATTACCTTGAGTAAGCCCCATCCAGTGACTATAGCTGTCTCGTTATCTCGAAGTTCAAATTTAGATGTTGGTAATTTTGCAGGTTGTACGTAATCGTCGAAAATGATATCTTCGCTCGTTTTAATTAAAGCAATGTCCGCTCGAATACTTTGACGATTCAACTGAAAACATTGAACAATTTTAAGATTGTAGCTTTTCTTTTTTGGACACTGACTCGTGCTACTTACTTCCCAATCTTCATGAACTGCAATAGCTTCAGATTCGTATACTCTTTCATGTTCGCCTCCTCTTATGTTATTTCCACCCAAAATTCGCACTACACGTCCTTCTTCACTATTAGCAAAAACAATAATGTGAAAACTCGATCGATATTAGAATTCGTAAATTATACTTACTTGTGGATACAGTGCGCAGCGGTTAATACGTATCGCTGACTTATGATGGTACCTCCACAGTGCACTGGGCGCTTTTCCGCGGGCATCGAATCGGGAAAATTGTGCATACCCTTGATCTCGATTCGAACCTGATAAGGATACATTCCAGTTTCGGCTTCGTATCCATTTTCTATCCGTAGCTTTTCACTTTTTACTGATTCATACGGAAACGAAAACATCACATGTTAGATAATCGACGCACTTATTGACTCAGCTTTTATTTATGAAAAGTTTACCTGTGTTGTAAGTGATGGATAAAAAAATTAAAAAAATATTAACGCCAAACAGGTTCATTTTCACACTTTTAGCTTCTGGACTTAATTACTAATACGTTTAATAACAAAGTGCGACTGACTTTGTGAGTCTCACTTTTATACACTGTTTCCAAGATATTTTATCATTCATAGTAAACTTTATCTATTATTGATATTGTTTATCAACGATATCTACAAATGATCAATCTTCGATATTAACACAAGTGTTCGCTTCGGAGTGAATGAAATTTATGTCTTATTCGATGTAATTTTTTTTTATCGGCAAAAAGTGATCACACTTAAAAAGTCAATTACGATGGTTATATTTTGATATTATGAATAAGAAAAATGTTTGTTCACGCGATCATTATACAGTCGATTCTCGATCGAATCAAATTTTATTTTACTCGCACGATGAGCGTGCCGTCTGCATTGTTAGAACAGCCCCCGAGTGACTTTAAAAATAAAATAACGACTATCTAATTCATTATTTCATAATTCGTTTAATTCCCAAGAAAAAATATTGCAATGTAAAATCGAATTATCGAGCATTGCTCAAGTGTAAACAAACTTAAAATACAAAAATCTTATTCATCTTGCTCTGAACTGTCATCACCCGAAAATTCCGAAAGTTTACTCAAATTATCAAGAGCACTTATTTTTGTGATGGATTAGTAAGTAAAAAGCCACTGTAAGCCATAATAATTGTCATAGTCTTACCAAACACGTTTTTTTCCCTAAATGAATCATAATCTTATTGAATCATTGTATTATAAATTGGTTAAATCAGTTAATCCGAAACTAAGTAATGAAACTTTATACACTATCGAGCATCTATTGTGTTCAAAGATCAAAATTGCATTCTCTATCTGAATTGAAAATATAACCGAACATTACCAGCTCTGGCAAGCGTCTCATTTAAGTTTTAATCGGATTTCGACTACGAACGCGCACAGAGAGAGAGAGTATTCCATTCATTCACACAGCCGCTCTCTCTCGAGGAACGTCGTCGTGCATCATACATCGGTATACACGCTCAAATACCTAATGGAAAATGTCACCATGAATTTCAGACGTACCGAAATCGATTCCAATCTATCGAAGCAATAATAATGCTTCGCGATAAGTCAGGATAAGTCCGTCTGCAAGAAGTTGCCTAGGCCGCACGCAGGATCATCGTCGCTCGAATTCACCTCGATATACACGCCGGGACGCAGCAACAGCAGCAGCAACAACGTGAATTATATATAACACAGGTATTACGAGGGGTGAGGAGGGTGGTTTAACATAGCTGCCACACGGCGCAAATCATAAGCGATTACACGAGAGCCATTACGACGCGCGCTTATGCCGTTATTCGATCGCGAACGCGAACGATCGTCTAATTTACGCTAATGGTACTCGCAAGACTATATAATGCTCTATGTGTAGTGTGTGTGTGTGCGATCTCTCTCCAACAAAGCGACTAATCAGTCCTCCGTATATGTATACCATTAAAGGGTCTGGCGCATCGACGATGTCAGCCGGACAATCTCGCATAATATGTATATTGGCTGGGGCTATAGGCTCTCGGCTCGCGCGCAATTCAGAAGCTGTACACGAACGTGCATTATAAGCAATATATGCGAAGCTTTAATCGGGATCGCACATATTTCAATGATTGCTCGTGTATATACGTAATATTACGTATACGCGTGTGTGGCCGCGCGGCCGAGTGATTGTGGCGGCGTGGGCAGCTTGGCTGTATCGTATCTACTCGGATTTACCCCTGCTTCGATTTATATAACTATTTTTACTTTGCCACTTGCAGATTTACAAAAGTACAGGTTTTCGCCATCTACCGGTGGAGACTGAAAGTTGTTTTATCGCATTCAGTGTCGTTGTAAAATGGTCTGCATTGATTGAAACAATTAATTTAACGTTATTTTATCGTCTAAAATGTTCTTAATATTTTCAATATAATTGTAACAATGTATTTTAAAAGATTTTAAATATTCACCTTTTGGTAGTCTGGCCATTATCAATGTCATTTTAGTAGCAGTATTTTACTCGATAAAAATGTTCATTAAGTCTAAAATTACCCAATGGACATTCATTGATGTAACACATCGCCAACGCGATAATAGAGTGCGGAATTCGCAGCTCGACTTATGTTTACGATGCATTATTTATTGACAACGACTCGCATTGTACACACCAGCGATGAAAAGAAGGGATCGTCCCGCGGGGCACAGTCGGTGCACATCATTATCAGTCCGCGACCACATGTACATCCGAATTACTATTGCTCGCCAAAAGGTCATTCTCCGCAATGTATAAATATATAGCAAAAGGGCGACGACATTTATCGAGCCCAAAGTGACACAAGTGCAGCAGCAGCAGCAGTGTAAGACAAGGTGGCAAAAGCAGGCACTTACACACATGTTACGGGGCAATATTCCACCCCATAATTCGCCCAATTGAGACGTAAAAGTAGCTGCCGAGCTAAACGCGCGGCAGCAGCAGTGGCGGCCCACCCGCGGTGCATCGCATCCCCTATATGTGCCATGTGTGTGTGTGTGTGTGTGTGTGTGTATGTAAAGCGCGACTCCGATACGCTACCGCAGCAGCAGCAGCTCCGAATCATTATTTTCTTCCAAGACCCTCGAACGCACGAGCTGTCCTGATTTTGCGGGCATCTGCTGGCTCCTATTACTATCTAAATTACCGTTTCATGCGGTCGAACACAGCCAATCTTATACGAGTATAAATGGGATGCATGAACAATTTCGCGCGGGACATATGGATGTTTGCGTCACGCTAGAAGTTGACAGATTTATGATGCTAAGTAGGCATTTAACTCAAACTTTATCGACCAAATGAGTAAAATAAATGAAAAGATCGACTTTTCGAGGTAAATTTTATAAAATGTACAGCTAAATTATAAATCTGAAATTAAATACGACTCTGAAGTTATCAAGCATGCATAATGTAGTTTGGGCTTGCGGGCGACACGTTTTTTTTTTTAACAAGGAAGCCAGCTCGATGTACGTATATATTTTAGCATTGGACCCAGCGGATGAGAGATAAGTTCCAGCGTTACCGAGGTCCTACGGGAGCGTTAAAAAGAGAATCTTCTTTTGCTTTCAGCGTAATTTTTTCCATTCACCCCTTTTTATCCCCCGCTGCTGCTGCTGCTGCGCCTCGCTCCACGTATAACCCCGGCCACCGCCGTCGTCGCCGCCGCCGCCTCTGCCACCCTTTCTCCGGGGCAATAAATCTGGACGCGGGAATTAGGTTCGAGATAAAGTATAATATCGGTGGAGTTGCAGTGCGGTGGCGGTGGCGGCGTTATACTATACGGTAGGAAAAGAGAGAGAGAGAGAGAAAAGTTGCGAGCGCGAGGGGCTTCGGGACGCAGAGGGAGAGAGAGAGAGAGAGAGAGGAGAGACGTCAGAGCCGCTCTGTGCTCTCTGTGCGTGCTGCGAGATTCCTCGCGTTTATTTATAGCCCCGCGATAGCGTCGCTCTTCTTTCGCGCGCGCGCGCGCGCCATGCCAGGTATGCTCGCTAAATTATTGGAAAATAGTCCGCTGCTGCTTCTCCCTTTTTTCTTTTCCCAACTTTTTGGCTTTTCCAAGGGACGACGACGACGACGACGACTCGTTGCTTATTCTGACTGGCGACGGCGACGCCCTCTCCCTCCCTCCGAAGGCTACAAATCTTCTCTCGCCCGAGAGAGAGAGCTGCTACTTTGCATTCGCGGATGTCTTCTATAGCATTTTTTACCCATTCATCAATATACCATACCCATACCCCGAGTTACGCCGAGCGAAGCGAATAAAGAAAATCGTATAAACGGCATCGTCGTGTTGTGTACAGAAATATATAATTCTATTTTTTCGATTATAAATGATAAATTATTATGTAATTCCTATCATTGAGTTTACTCTTACTCCGATAAAGAAAATTACGTGGCTGCACCGAAAAAAAAAGATTGTATTCCGCGCTCGAAATACGAGAAACGAGATATTTTTTTTTATCGATGCAATGGCGCATGATTTTTATATACGCCGCAATAGATCATAAAAAAGAGAGAAAGAGTTATTTTCGCGTATACGAGCCTCTCTCTCCGACGCTCGCATTCCTCTCCGAACATTTTCAAAATGAACTGTAAAATATGTCAAAACGGATAAAATCTCTTGGCCATGAAAATAAAAAAAGTATTTTTTTTTTTTGGCGGGCTCGACGCGCGCAAAAGTTTTTTTTGCCTTTGCTGCTGCTGCTGCACGTACAGACCGTAAAACTGAAAATTCATTGTACCCGCTCTCTCGTTGAATTTAGGGAAAAAAACTTCTTTTTTTTTTTGCCCGCGCGCGGAAGTGCATTTTGCAAAAGGGGGTTGGTTAGAGGGTAGAAAAAAAAAGGAAGAAGAGATTGAACTCGCCCATCCACGTTCTGATAAAAATGAAATCTTTGATGTATTGTGAGTTCGTGCGTTCGAGGCAACATATTTTTCTCTGAAATTTTACTTTTTGGATGCGCAGAAATTTTTGCCCGCGCGATTTCAAGAGCGTTTCTCTTTTAGCCTCGCGCAACCGATTATAATTTGTACAATTACCATTTATGAATACGAATAACAATGGACGAACTCAATCAAGTCAAGACCCATTGGGTACTACCTCGTCAAAAGCAAAATTTGTTGATGAATTCGATCGAGAGCTTCGCGTGGCGGGCGGATACTTCCACACGGCGATCCGAAAAGGAGCAGAAACGACCTCGGCTCGCCGCGATTCGTATCTCTTATTAAATCGAGCAGCCGCAGCAGCAGCAGCACACGTATATACCTGAATGTACAAACGACGAACAACCGTGCGGGTAATATCGCACATCACACACAACCGAGTATGTATGTACTCGTTATATTGTACGTAGGTATACTCGCCATGTTCTGAAGCTCGACTAGGTGGATGTTACATATATACAGTCTCGATTGCCTGCGGGGCCTATACGCCAGTCTCGTCTCTTTCGCGCATTTTGCATTTTTCGTCCCCTTTTTTCGTGGCGAGTGGTGTACACACACACAC